GAAAAGTTCAGCACCAGCTGTATCAGCGTGTTGAAAAGCACACTAGAAGCAGCGTAGTTCAAGAACTTTCAGCAAACCAAGAATGGTAAACTCTTGTAGACAGTTTTTGCTTCGATATCCAACACTGTGATTCTGCAGAGCGCGATGCGTAGCACGATGTTGATTGCTCAAAGTATGAACTCTCCGCTCTCCTCCGAAAACCGCGTTCCTTTCTACGCGAGCGACTGACTCCCCGCCACCTCAGGGGCTGGGCTTGTGTTGGTTTGGGCGGGATTTTGGTTTGAAGGGAAATTTGTGGGAGGGGCTTAGCGGGTTGGACTTGGGTGTTTTGGGCTTTTTAGGCATACGAAATTCCTGATTCAGCTTTATTGTTGAACAGGGCTACTTTTCGTTTTGCCCTTGCTTGTTGGGAGAAATTGGGGTTTTGGGGGCAGGGAAAATAGCTGGCTGGGTGGGGACCGCCGCAGTTGCAGCATTTGGCTGGGAGGTCACGGGATTTCGTGCACTCCTTGTAAAAGTGCGGCTCCGCGCACTTGTGGCAAGTGGGTTTGGAGCCACAATTTGTCAAGGAATGCTCGTACTTTTGGCATTTCTTGCATTGGGGAATGTGTTTAAGGTTGAGGGTGTTGGAGTTTCTTTGGGGCTCGATGAGGACTGGGAGGTTTAGGAGATGTTTTATGTTTTGGAAGTCGGATTGGGATTGAGGTAGGAGTACTTTTACCATGTTGGAGACTTTTTTGTAGTTTCCAAGACGGTAAAAGTGTGTGTTCGGGCGAAAAGCCCGAGTCGTGGATCTCGTTATGAATTTCGCTGATGTCCATGTGGAAGTCGAGTCCTTTAATGATGAAAGACAGGCAGTTTCCTGTCTTCCTCGAGAGTGTAGGTGTGGTACTCTATGGCGTTTTGAGTCAGGAGTTTGGTGATACTCCGATGTTCGTCCGTGGAAGAGGGGATAAAAGAAATGCCTGTGTGCTTCTTTTTCGGGTTTGTAATTTTGATGTTGTGTGCAGTCTGCGGGGTTCTTGGCCGTAATTGGGACAATCGTACTTGATAGAATTAGGGGGGGATTGCAGGGGCGTCAGGGGGGATTTGATTGTCGTCGATTTCGCTGAGGACGCTGTCGACCTTCTCCTCGAAATCTAGGTTGTCGTTTTCGGAAATGTTGGGCGAGAACTGGAGTTCAAGGGAGTCCGCAAAAGCTTCAGCTTTTTCTTCGTCCAGATAGACCACCTCTCGCTCACCATGTATTGGGGAAAAGTGCGTTTTTGTTTTTCCTCGCATAGCCTTGGAGATTTTACAGGCGCGCGGGTCGCCCGTTGAGAGATTTTCCAAAAGTTCTGTCCACCTTTCGTTTCTTAGGTTTCAGATCTGAATTTTGATTTTCTTGGTTAGTTTGTTTGCCTGTTTGTTAAGCTCTGAGTCGGTGAATTGTTTAGCCCTTCGTTTAAGCCAGTTACGATTTTTGATGAGAGTTTTGAGCTCAGGCGGCAGAGAGAAAGGGTTTTTGTT